ATAATGTAATTTTTAAACCTAATTACAGATTTGCAGTACCATACTAAAAATTTTAAATTAATGTTAATATAAATTAATTGGGGATAATATAAGTTTAATTAAGTTTAATTTGAACAACAATTGCTCTTCATTTTAATTTTATTATTGAAAGACTAAAATATTAACTAGAGCTTTATATTAACTTATGCAAGACAAGAGAAATATTTGGATTGAAAAAACAGGAAATGACATTCCACTTTGTGTAAGTTCAATTTGGCTACTTCAAATCATTTTTTTTGTTTTTTTGTACATTTATCTCAATGTTCAGATAGTGATAATATGTAAAAAGAATCTTCCAAATAATGACAACTCAACAGGCTGTTGTCTTGTACAGTATCTTTCTTCTTTTTTTTCCATGGTATATAATATTAAATCATGTGTGGTTTTTATATTTAGTACTAATGAACTAACATGTTTATACTTTTTTTTTTTTGTACATATTATATATATATACACAAACTTTTTTAAAGAATGTTTTGACAATATTTACAACATTTTTATAAAAATGGATTTTTATTCAATATAATTGTACTATAACTCATTTAATTTAATTTAATTTATATGATTTTTAATAAAAGAAATAAGAAATTTGATGTAGTGTATAAAAAAAAGTAATTATCATACATAAATTTAATGATGAAATTTTAGAACCACAAGTTGAAAATTTTTATGTAAAATTCAGCTCCTATAAAATAAGTCAACTCAAAATTTTGGTAAGAAAGTCTAGCGATACTCAAAACGCAAGAAATTTAATAAAGTCCAGGAGAAAAACATATGCATTGACCTGAGCACATGCACTGACCCGAGCACATGCACTGACCTTTCAACTCTTATTTACAGGAAAAACACACGCTTACAGTCTTCATGTCTTAACCATTTTAAACTATCTACTCCCTGGATTTCCTATATATTTGCTTAATAAATTGCTCATCGCCCTATTATTGGACACACTGAATATACACACACACACATAAAGACTCTAAAAATTAACTTGTCTCAAACTCTCTCTCTCTCTCTCTCTCTCTCTCTCTCTCTCACTTGTTCTCAAACATCTCTCTCTCTCTCTCTCGTCTCTCTCTCTCTTCTCTCTTCCCTAAAACTGTAGTAATTGGCACAAAGAACAGTGGTGAGGTCCCATCCTTCTAAAAAAGTGAACCAAAGAAGAACAGAGAGCTTGGACTGTTGAAGAAGATCAAAAAACTAATCTCAGTATATTGAGTCATGTGCTAAAGAGATGGAAAACTATGCCACTAAAGCAGGTTTTAATTAAAACTGCGCAATATAGTATCCGCTTCTTTCTTTCTTTTTCTGCTTTTGGTAAATGTCTTAAATTTTTAAAGAAGGGTTGGATTTAGCTAAGGTGCAGAGCATTTCTGCGGATGATGAGGCCTGTACTATTGTTTCAGTTTGAACCGATGTGGGAAGATGTTGTCGACTGAGATGGTTGAACTATTTTGAACCTAATATTAAAGCGAGGAAACATTTCAGATGATGAAGAAGACTTTAATTCTTAGACTTCATAAGCTACTGAGAGCAACAGTTTAATTAGTTCATTAAACTACAAATTATTATTACTTAATAATAAAACAATGTGTTATATTATATATATGTTATTAGGGTCAATGATTGCCGGCAGACTTCCTGGAACGAACAGACAATGAAATAAAGAATTACTGGAATTCACATTTACGCAAGAAAATAAAGCTTGGAGAAAAAACCAAATCTCCAAATGCCACAAGAAAAATTCACAGAAAAGACTGCGATACTAATCAGGAAATGCAAGAAGGCATTACAGGGAGCTGCGAATCGGATATTTCATTCGATGTAAACGAAGTGTTTAGTTATTCGATGAAGGATCGCAACGGTTTGGAGTGGGTGGCAAATTTCTGACAGCTCGATGATGGAGGATCCATGGCTCACTGAAAAATTAGGTGAGCTTGCATTATTATGCATGTGTCTGTGAAGTAGAGAAACTCAAGTGTCGTTTGTCCCTTATGTTTTTTGAAAGAGGAACGTTGACTTTATATGTATACTTTGAATAAAAATGTTTAAGGTTTTTTTGTGTCCGTAATAATGTTTGGTTAGCACATGGCGATTTTGTTTTTAGAAATTGTCGTGTGGACCAAGGCTCCGATGGCTATATTTATGGACTAAACCAATCATGGTAAAAAATTTTAAAGTATTTTGACTTTTTTTTTTTCCAGTGCATAGTCAAAATATATTTTCAATAAAAAAATTTTATTCTCATTAGTATTTGGTCCAATAAGTGGCACATAAATCCATTCGCAGCGCGTAAAATTTTCCTTTTTAGTTTTATGTAAAAATTTTCCCTTTGTTTATGTCAATTACCGATCCAACATGGCCACTGCCACTTAAATAAATTGTTTTATGATTTACTTTAAAGGTGGAATAGATTAGGATAGTTAATTATAACGATTAGGACTTCGATTTTCAACAAATAACAAAAATATATACAATTAGACTAATCTCGAATCAGTATTATATTAACTAAACTATGAACTAAATTAGTGACAATAGAGTTTTTCTTTAAAAAATTATTTATATTTATTTTTTTCAGTAAATGTAATAAATACTTTTATTTTCAATAAAAGATATTTAGTATTATTTGGCTATGTGTTGGACCAACTAGATTAAATCTTGCTGAATCAATCCTTCAAAAGAATTGAATTTGACATCTAACAATTCAACCCATGCCAAATAACAATAGAATGTAATGATATAGAAAGAATTGATTATCCTAGATTGGGTCCATGAGTCTACTTCATCGATCCCAAACTGATGAAAAATAATTTTTTTTTATTGAAATGAGAATATTCTGACTGTAGATAGAAAAAAATAGAAAATGAAAGTAATATTAAAAAAAAAAATATTTTCATTGATTGGTAGATAAATAGATCTATAAGCCCTAGTCTGGACAAATCTAATCCTATAGAATATTCATTTATAAAGAATAATCTACTTGAACCTATTTGTAAGTATAGATGACTAATAAACTCATTAACCTCAATTCTTAGAAAATATTATTGTAAATGATCTAAATAGTAATACTTCTATAATTTTCTAAATGACAAAATTGACCCCGAAGTGCACAACTAGATGGACTGGATAATATCTCTTCATATTCTATTTTTCTCTATCATTCCTCTCCTTTTTTCTTTTCGTTTTTTCACTCAATTTTTTCTCTGTGATTCTCAGTAATAACCAAACACAAGAAGGTTGACTTTGCCTAACAAACACCTAAAATTGGAATCAGAGGGATCCTGAACTGGAAAGAAACCTGGTTCCGATGCAGCAAAAAGAAACCAAAAAAATCGCGGTTCCTGACGCATTGCGATCTGCAAGCCTTGGCGTGGAGCAGTTATCCGTTATGACCAGAAACATAGAAAAGCATACAATATTTAAACATGCAAGTCCAGCTACGGGAAAGTACGAGGAGGCTCAGTCTTTGCAAGCAAAAACAAAATTGGACGATTTTTTTCTCAAAACAACATGGCACAATTTATAATGGAGATAATGCAAATTCTCTTCATAAGTAAAAAGGAAACTCTTAAAAACTCTGCATGGAAAATGATGCAAGGGTTTTTGCGTTTTATTTGAACCACCTTGAAACAATGAATATCAGGAAGCTTTGAACCCTAAACCCTAAATGTCTTTCCTCGTCAACCCAACTCTAATTGATTTGGAAGGAATTGGAGATCCTGTCACCCCAAGGTTCTATGTTCTTTGGAAAAATATGGGTTCCTTCAATATTCTATCTATTAGGAGGATGTTTCTTTTTTTCTTCATGTCTCATTTCAGCTTTTAAATCTTGACGACCAAAGATGCGATTCAAACAGCAAGGGGTATTGTCATAACTAAGATGTTAATTGTAGTGGAGCGTTGGGTTGTTATTGAATTGGCATTTTCATGTCTATAAAGAGCTTGCTAGGCTTGTTTCGAGCGATTATTAATTAATTTGCAGTAGAATATTAATAGCAAGGCTGATGCCATGCCATCGTTAAAATTCAAAATGGATACAATGGAAGGTCATTAGTAAAAAATTTATAATTTTATGGATTTTTAGCTTAATATTTACTATTAACCAATACAGGAACTTGATATATTTGCGAAAAAAAAAAAACAAAAGGAAATTTATAAATCTACAAAAAAAATTGTTTAATAATTCCTATCTATCTAAACCACTTTTTTTAGTATAAAATTGATCTTATGCATCGAATATAAAAATTTATTTATAGCGAGATTAAACGGATGTGAAACCACGAACATAGTAACCAGCTTAATTTCTATTTGATAACACAATTATTTCTGATAAAATTAAATTTCAATAGTTAATATAAAGATTATATTATAGTTGGAGAAATTTCTGCAACTATCAAGTCAATATGTAAACCAAAATTTAGCAAAGCTGCGACAGAAACTTGCAAAGCTTTGATTTGTTTACCAACCCCTATAGAGTATCCTTTTTTTGTTTCTTCAGACTTTCCAGCATTAAGCCAGTCCTTTCACAATCAATTGCATTTTTAAGACCCCTTTTTTTTTTTATTTTTTTTTTTGAAAATTTTTAAATATATTATGATAATTTGTCAAATTAATAAGATTAAAATTTAATTATTTATGTTTTTTGACACTTTCTTTTTTAAAATATATATGTGGCCCAGAAAAAAATTATCTTTAGATCACACGCTAAATTCCGCGTAAATATATTTAAAATTATATTCAAAAATTTCAAAAAAATATTTAAAAAATATTATAAAAATATTTTCTTTCTTTTAAAATACCACTTAAAATGAGCGAACAACTTTGAGAGTTGGCCGCGGGTTCTTCCCAACCCATCGCTTATTCCCGTTCCATTCATATATAACCTTGAATTCATTTGTTTTGAAGAACCCCTCCCATTTATTTTTTCTTCAATTTCAAACGTCGTTCCCTTAGCTTCTCTCCAATATTCATCTCTCTCCTTCAAACACCCAGGAACATTGTCTTTTCTTTTATCTCTTTGATTATATTCGTCATTTCGATTATGCGATTTAAATAATTTTTTTTTTTGGACTTTCTTTTTTGTTGGAAAGTTTTGGCTTCGTAATTTTTGGTATAATAGTTGTAAAGTTATGGAACTGGGATAGTCATCTTCAATTTCTCTGGATGGTTCCTTCTTGTCCAGACTTACCAAAAATGGGATAAATTTCAAGGTTAAAATCAATGTTAGATAAATCCTCAATTAAATATTCATTGCTTGTATTTGTATCAATTTCTTTTCTTTTTTTTTTTTTTGTTAGTTAGTTTCGATCAGGGTTTCGCAATTTGCATCCCACGTCCTTAAAACGACTTCCTGCGCCCCCATGGTGTTAAAGAATGTTAGATTGGATTGTAGTGCATGTACTCCTAAAAGAGCTTGCAAATGCAGGCCAAGTTTCTGTTGGCATTTGAAACACCTTTGCTCTTCGATATGTAGTCTTGTTTTTTATCCTTAATTTTGTGCCTTACTTCTTCCTCTTTCGCTCTTCAATGATATATATATAATATACTTTTGTATCTAAACTTTGTCATAGTGTGTTGCCCACCCGGTAAAAATTAAGTTTCTATTTTTGTTTGGGAAAAGTTAGATTTTGATCATATAGAGTACTCATTTTATAACTTTCTCAGTGTCGTTTGGAAGCACACGTTGTTTTGACCGATAGTGCCGAGGATATTTTGCCAGCACGGAGATCCAAACAATGGGGGGGATCATTTTGCGCAAGGGAAATTCATAAATTGGGTTCCAAATTGCATCCTTGCTTCGGCATCTGTTGGTAATGTCCATTGCAATTGATTATTGAAAGATAGCTATGTCCTCGGGAATGACGGGATTTCTCAACACGTCATTATAGATCTACTCTCTGTCTAAATCATTCCTCTATTCTAAAGGAAGTTGAGTTACGTCAACAACCGATTTTAGACTCAGAGAAACAGGTGCGTTAGCTTTTCTTTTTTATTTATTTTACATGAGCGGTTAATTGAATGCTCGGCAAATAAACCTATTAAAAAATGATTTATAATGATTATAATTTGGTGATAGTTTATTAGCAGATAATCGGGAATATTTAGAAACGAGTTTCTGGGGCAGTCGTCTATGAAATGTACGCTAGTTAAACGCCTAAACCTATAGTAACATTAGCATATGGCGTTCTAAGAAAGACCAAGCATTTTTATTATGTTCTCATATATTGAATAAGTGAGATATGAATCGCCATTTGTAATTAATTATAATATATACTTAAACTATATAAGTAGTCGTGCAATTCCAGCCACTTCATTACTCACTAAATCATAATGGCTAAACGGAAATTGCTGAAAAAGGAAATCAACAGCAACAAAAGGCCTAGGAATTCTGGAAAGGACGGGGAGGGTGGCAATGAGGTGATTCTTCACATTGTGAAGTTCATTGTTAGGTCATGCTGTATTCTTGGTGAAGGACTATGTTAGTTCCTATACGGGTCTGAAATATGGCATAGCTCTCATATTAATGGCTTATACAGCTGCATATACAGTTTTCTTTTGCTAAAATTTTTATTTTTATTATTTTTGTGTTAAAAGAATTTTAAATTCAATGTGCTTGCTTCTTTCGGTAAGTTTCTTTCCTATTGAGAATTACTTCAGAAAATTTGCAAAAACCATCAGCATGTTGATACGTTGTAAAATTTTGTATTTAATACATAGAATCAACTTTGGATAATTAGGCCCTGTGTTGAGTCTTTGAGGAGTTAAGCCTTTTCCACAATATTGTTTATGATACTCAAGTGTCTATCACGATGGTGAGGGAAAGGAGCTCGAGAAGAAAAGAAAAAATTACGAAAACAAAAGGTGAGGCCATTCAAATGGAGAATCCTCGATTGTCAAACGCCGACGGTCTGAGCACTTAATACGTGCATGTGAGTGAAAGTGAGAAATTCAGGTATTGAAGGGTGCCTGACTGCCGGTTATCTTGAACGAGGCACTTGCACATAGCGTATCATGCATTTGTTTAATTTGCTGTGACTTCTGTACACCAAAACTTTATATAACCAAAAACCAGAAAATGCTAAATTAAAAACTTGTCGATTCTGTAAATTTCCACTTCTTTTGGTGTCCTTCATTTATTATTCAGGAGAGTTTACTTCAAGAAGAAATTACTTGATGGGAAGAAAGCATTGACCTTTGCGCTTTTGTTAATGTGAGACACACTTAAAACTCTAATTATAAAATGAAAATTCTCTCATTTAACACCAGGGGTTAAAAAAGTTGAAGAAGTTTAGGGACAAGGAAATCATGTGAACTCAAACTTCTGCTCAAAACATTTAATTTTAAAACAAATTGCAGTTTTCCTGAGGCCTATTAAAGGTATTATTAAGAACCTCTATTAGTCTAGTCTTATAGTATAGTAGTATATATGTATATATATATATTATGGCTGGCATTGGCCTAGAGATCTGGCGAATTAAAGCATTATAAAATAATCATGAGAGACAAGGATGATTCACCCTAAGACCACAAAACCTTGAAAGAAAAGAGATGAAATGCAAACGCCATTAACATTCAGGGAATTCTTCTTTCCTGCGTCCATGCGTAAAGCCATTTCCAGCCATTCCCTCCTTGCGTCGGTTTCTGTGGAAAGAGGAAAGATGAAGTTATTTGCTGCGGATGTTTGAGCACTGGCACCTTTCATAGGTTTCGGTAGTGTATAGGTCCTTTTTTTCATTTGCACCAATGTACCAACTCGTGATTCTTTTCTCCATAAAGTCACTGCTTTGAATTGGCCAAGGGAGCTTCATTCACTGACTTCGTTCACTTCCATTCCCACTCGCTCACCCTTGTCGTCTTTCTCTCGTCTCCTAATCACTGACGAAACTCACAAGTGTTTCCACTTTAGATCACCACTCTCTTGAATGGCCTGTAGTGTGAATATGGTATAGACTTCGACCTGAGGTTATTTGAACCGTATCACTCCATAGCTCTGTTTAATTTGGCACGCAATTCAACTCTACAACAGTGTCGGATTGTGCTTCTTGCCCCAAACCATCAAACTGTGGATCCACACTCACCTACACTCTTTTCTTATTCCTCCTTCAATAGGAAAGAGGTTGCACGACCTTTACTTGTTTGATGCTTTGTGCGCAAGAAAGACAATCTTCCTGTTGGGTTACCTTCATACGACCAAAATGGAGCGATACTTAACTATTCTCCCCGTCTCTCATTATAGCGTAGACTGAATATATTCTCTATGATAGCACCGGCTTCCTGATAAAATTAGATACCCTCTCTTCACTCCCATGGAGTGTTATGCAGCTTTCGATCTTCTTGTTTTCCTTCATATTATAGTATGTAATTATGTTACTTCTCGTCTTTGATATCATATGTATTTGTCCTCCCTTCTGTTTGCAAATCCTTATTGTTTTGGGAATATAAAAAACACATCCTTTTTATTTCATTTTAAATCCTAATATGGATGTAGCAAACTCTAGTATGTGGACTCTCTATAAAATCTGCATAGATTATCAGTATGATATTACTAGATTGCATATTCCTCTGCTTTATAAATTATATTCTTCACTTGATCCTTTTACCTGATTTCAATAAATATATCAAACAAAAGGGACAATAATAAGTACGATATGATATATGATCACCAGTTCAACCAATTCATAGCCGCACCTCGCCCTGCTCACTCTCCCTCCTACTACAATCCCTCCTAACACACTCCCACCAAAGAACATGGAAGCAAACTAGCAACTTGTACCAATTCAGATTCAAACGCTCCTATCGACTAATCTACACAGTTACTTTTTCAAAACAACACACTACACTATTCCCTTCGCAGGCGGACTAAAACGATTTTAGTGTTATTTAAGGTATTTATCTGTACAATATAGTCTATTTATATTCTATATATATACCAAAGGATATGTAAACCAACTTTTAATTTTTTTATGATAATAGGTATAATTTAAAAATATGGACTTCTATGAAAATTCCAATTAAGATAATGATTCCCTCTCTATTATCCCATTTTACTCCCTTGTTTTTTTAGAGATCGCGTCTTTCCTCTTGTCCCTCCAAGAATACGGGAAATCTGTAGACCTCGGGCTAAATGCTTGGGTTATGAACAAATTTACGGAGGTTTGGAACTCAGAAAGAAAACAAATGGGAACCCAGCCAAGAATGCAACGCAGGAGTGAATAGAGGCAAGCAAGCCCATGATTTATTTTCATAAACCACGAGCAAGTTTTTCCGCACTGGATCCCCAAAATCCAGCATGTTGTATAAAGGCTTGGCAGGCTTGTGCAATTCTAAAAAAATCAAATATACATATTAATTCCCACAAAATTCTATATTAAAAGGAAACAGGAAAAAAAAGCGTAAGGGGCATCATAATCACTGGACAGCAGAAGGCCCCATCAGTAGGCATTGGAACGCAAAGAATGCAGACTTAAAACATCAAGCTATTGTCATATGTGGACTGCTATCAAGCTATATGAAATATGGAAACGAATGTCAAGAATATGTAGACCCCTTAATTCAGGCCCAACACTAATTGGAAGTCTGTCACTGAGTCTTTCTCCTTCCACATACATGTGGCCGTGTGTATCCAATGTGGATTGTTATATTAATTGCGGTTTCAGGAATTGGAAAGGTTTACTTAAGTATTTAGTCTTCTAGTCTTTATATTTACATATTTAATTAACTTCATTTATACAATATTAATGTGTTGAGAATTTTTTGCAACCAAGGCTGCATATGCAAATGTTGCATTTGCATGGGTGCGTTGTAAGTCGTGGCTTTTCTTTCTGCATTTTGCGGTGGGGGGTTGTGGTTTTGTTAGGGTAGGGAAGGAGCGAGAAATTGGGGCGCAGACGTACACTCAGGGAATATGTATTAGG